TCTTGTTGTCATTGCTCCGGGTGTGCTCTTTACTGCGCATTTCTTGTCCACGGCCTCCTCGGCTGTCAGCTGGAATGCCTGAACCGAGCCACCGCTGCCCATGGTGAGCCTGGCAGGCAGTCAACTGAAACGAGAAACTCCAGTGCCTTCATCTTCCTCCGACTTTGAGCTTTGCCCTCCTGGTGCCCTCCCGGAGTCCTGTCGAACTGAGGTTGAAAGCTCAAAGGCCCAAAGGCTCGAAGGATCAAAGGCTCAAAGGCCTATGCGGAACCTCGGGATGTGAGGTGCAAAGACCACAACCAAAATGTTCAGGGTGAAACTGGACTCAGCAAAATGAAACGCCAACAGAATGCTACCGCATCCAAAGCTGAGGCCAAGCACGGACAGGGTTGCAATGAATTCAGGAAGTGGCGGCAGCACAAGGAAAAGAAAATGCCAATGACTTTGCAAAGGCACCGTTCCAAGGACTTTGAAATCTTTGTGTAATCTCAGGCTCTGATTTAACCAATGCCACATAGTGTAGCCAAGTTGCCATGCGTTCACAACTCAAGAATGTCTAAAATCCAAAATCCTTGAGACCTACTGGTTTCCTGCGCATGTTTTGCTGTGTTGAAGCTGCAAACTGCGCCATGTCAAGCAACATTCCAAGGGAAGTTGACCCCCTACCTGCTCAAATTTGATCTCACAGCTTGCACTTGAGGACGGAGAGACCAAAACACTACAAAACCTGACAGGGTCAAACTTTTCCAGCACGTGCTTGCCAGCTGAACTCAAGCACAAAGCAGCTGTACATGATCTCTGCGACGGAGACCAAAGTCACGTTTCACACATCGCTTTTGTTGGCCACACACCACCAGCTCAGTGTTCCCTGGCTTGCCACGGCCATCAATGAACATCAATGAGCATCACACGTATCAAAAGTCTGGACACCCAAAATGATTTAATGCTGCAAGTCTCATTCTGCGCCAGAATGATGACCACTGCTTCCCCCTATCCATTGATTCTACGAGTAGCAGAAGCCTCCTGCTGGACGAGCCTTCTGCCCCATCTTCTGAGCTGTATCCCGCGGCACCTGAGCAGGCTGTGGTGCAAATATCTTCCCCCACAGAACTTCCAAAGTGCGAGCTGCATCCGTTTCGCAGGTTACCCTACGATGTTCATCGATGTTTTCCTACGGTGTTTCAACGCCTGTTTCGCACCAAGTCCTGAGGGCCTTCTCTTTGAATTCTTCTTCGTTCTTCAGGCCTCTGGAGCATGTCATAAGCATGGGCTGCTCCCTCGAACCAGGTTGAATATCCCCAGCAAGAGTTCCTTCGTAGATTTCAGTGATGGGTTTCAACAATGTCTCGGATATTGTTGTTGTGTAAAATCCAGAGTATTGAAATCGGTGAGACGTCTGTGACAAACATGGTGTCACCCCAAAGATCCATGAATATGGATAGCTCTCGGGTCCGTAGCTGAAGGGCAGCACTTTCGAACACAGATAATTACCACACAAAAAGATACAAAAAGTATGACTAAGAGTGAAGACATATCTCAACCATTGGACATTCCATCAAGCTGTTGTATCCCTGATGCCGTTCCCCGCTGAAACAACGATGCTTCCACCCAACTTCATGCTGGCCCAAACATTGAGTTGTCAATTGTGAGTCTCAAAACTAATGGCATCCTACTGATTCCCAAATCGAGCAAACTACACGATTACACGATGTACAGCGAAACCGCTGCTGTAGCTGTTTGATAGGCCACTGCAACAACTGCAAGACGAACTTGAAGGGATTCTTCTTCCAGGCACTGATTAACCAGGAAGCTTTGAATAAAAGCTCCAAGGGGTCCATGCTCCGATTGTTTTGCATAATTTGCCCATATTTGTTTCACTCTTTTTGTGGCCTTCACCCCCTTTCCATGAAACCAAAAAGAAGCAAATCCAGAGGCTTCACACAGATGTGTACGTTTGGATACTTTAGGCACAGAATATTACAGAACATGACAGAACTATAGGCATGCACCGTATGGAGTTTCCCTGCACATCTGTGGAAAAAGCACCGGACTGATTTGAATTCTGGATCCAATCACCACGATCCTGTGAAACCAAATGTAAGCCTGTTGAATGTTTCGTCAGATGGGTAGCTTGAAACGAAAACGACCAGTGGCAGTGGACGAGTAATCCCTGGGTAACCATTGACAGCCATGGTCTCCAGTTAGTCGACATCTAAGATTTCCTCAATGCCAAGGGTTGCCAAGCTTGAAAGAGGCATGGACTCGTTGTGACATGTTGTGACTAGCAGGTGCAACCAACCCCAAAACCAAAACTTCGGGCCTGCCTTTTCCGCATGGTAAGTCCTGCAAGTCCAAAGGCATGGTCGCCGGCACACCTGTCGCGGGCCAAGCAACGTACCAAGGGCATCTTCTGGGATCCTATTCGACCCCAACATCCTGAACTCCAAAATGACAAACGTTTAGGACGGTCTTTTCCTTGTGCAAGGTGCCAAGTTTAGTTCTATTTCATGTTTCTGGATATTGGACGTCTCGTGGAATGTTCTGACTAAATTTGTTTTGAAAACCCATGCCATCGGGAGTGCAAAATGAGGGGCTGCACCTGCTCTATGAATCCTTTCCGGTCAGGCTCTGCTTGGAACCCCAAAACACCTTCTGTCCAGGGGCATCATGGCGAACTGTACAAAGTCCATGACGGAAATCTTCCAAAAAAATCAATCGAAAATCCCAGTGACGATCCCCTGTTGTTCTACGATGTTCCAAAACTGTCGCCAACCCGTCTTGCAGAAATTAAATTGTCTATGTAGTTTCTTTGCTCATATCATTCATGTCTCTTTCCAAACACTGCCAATGCGATCTAGAAGCTACTGCAAACCACCATAAAACACCCATCAAGCCATCAGAAAAAAGTATCAATATGTGGTTTATAGTTCTCCCAATGCACCTTCGGATCGGAACTCAGCTTCTTGCATCATCCACAAAAGTTTCACCTAAGCAGGATTTTACTGCCCAATGCCCCTGGCGATGCTCCTATCACACAGTGACTCAATGGACGTGTTTACGTGTGGGCACGGGTGCCTTCAATTTGTCACACCGACTTAGACTGCAGAATGACCAAATTCAAAGCTCTGAATCCAAGGGTAAAGAAAGTAATTGCATCCACGGTGTGGAGCGCAGTCAACCTTTGTTGTTGTTCCAAATCCTTCATACTGCATTCAAGATTGATGTGCCATGCCATTCCATTCTGCAAAAACAAACGGGGAACTTATACCATGCATATGATTAGCTGGGAGTGAATGAAGAAAGTGTCAACCCCAGATTACCAATCCCTTTTTTTTCATATTAGGAAACATCGCTTTGCAAAGTTTTGCAAACAACTCGGGTTGACTGTTTCTGGGGGGTGATTTTTCGGGGGGGCAAAATAACATTGATGGATGCGTTTGTGGCTGTAACATCTGTAACCCAAATGGCAACTCAAAACGCATCTCACTGCGGATTCAACATGGTTGCAGACGTGCTCGGACATGGTGGCTGCAGTTCTATCAGCGTGGCATCTTCAAAAAATGGAAGCCAAGGCGCATCGGAAGCTTCTTCCGCTGGTCAGGGCCACGACAGTCTGGCCAAGCAAGGACTCCAAATGTTGTATATCAGTCAGCGTTATATATATTTATTGTATCATATCATTCCAAACAATTCATTGCAAGTCTACATCCAACTGCAACCACTGCATCAAATTCAAGCTTAATTAACGGCCTAAAGTTGGCGATATCGACCCGGATCGAAACTTCCAAGCATAAACAGCGACATACGGCGACACAGGTGGCAAGAAAAAACTCGCCTGGTCTCGCCTGCAGCTGATTCAGGACCTCGCAAAGTACAGACCAACAAAATTCGGAAAAACAATCAACACCTTTGGACTGGATAGACAGAAAATGTATGAAAATGTGGGGTCTTCAACCCAACATGCGACAGGGCTGCAAGATGTTTCAAGCCTGCAACGTTGACTTTGCCTATGGTAACTGATGGTGACAGAATCTGTGAAAATTGGACGTGGTTCAAACAAGTTGGAACAAGCTAGGGTGCAAAGAAGATATCCAATTCGATTCCCGAAATTTGCAATTGGACCGTAGATACCTGGCCAAATAGATGGGATTTCATTGGATTCGGTCAAGAGGATGATCTGTTTCATTGCAATCTCTCAACAGAGCCCACCAAGATCTCACCTGGGGAGCCTCCAACCAGAAAGGCGCCACATCTGCGGCCTCGCAGCTGGTTGCCAGGTTGGCACATGTTGTCAGGTTGGTACTCCGAACAAGGTTTCGCAATCCAAAAATATTGTCAGTTCTGATATGTCTGCATCTGGAAATGTGTCACGTTAGCTTTTCAGCTCTGCTGGTCATTGCACCCAATTTTCTACGAGTCAACCCCAACAGCCCCGACGGCAGTCACTGTCTGATTCGAGCGGCCGCAACAAATGACTAGCGATATGAAGGCAGTCAGCTGCCTGGGAGAAAACAAGGTGTGTTGAGCGTCTCCAGGACCGTATATCTGATGGATTCTGCTTGGTTTTTGGCAGGATGTCAATTTCGCTCTTTCAAGGTCCATGCTCTTTGGCAAGCCCGCTGCCAGCCTGAAAAAGGTTGGAGCCATTCACGCGGCCATGCAGCTGGGTGCAAAGATTTCCCAGACTCGGCCCCCTGACGTCAAAACCCATGGTTCACTTGGAATGGGACTGCAGCTAAGTTTGACAAAGTTTGACTGGGAGTGAAAGACATATGTGAGTCTGTGGCTGCAACATGGTTTCGCATGGTATCGCAACATGCTCCAATGGCATGTGGTGACAACAATTTGTGAAATCATATTTGATTTCAACCTCGCAAGACATGTGACTCCAGACCCTTGAGGCAAACAAAATGGCTGAAGGGGAACTCCAAAAGTTTAAAGGTTTGTAGTGCCTAGTGTCGAAACGTATCTGAGCAGCCCAGAGAAGACGACAAAGCAACTCTTCACGCAAATATGTGTTGCTTTTGGTAGCGCTTCTGCGCGTGTGAAACATGGAAGGCCCAGCAGGCCCAACATCAACATCATAACATAACACTCAATCCAGAAGATCACACAGTTGCGGAGCCGTTCAGTAGCAATTTTCATTGCGTCAGGCCTCCAGTGGCACAAGGCCCCATTGACATTAGTGACGGACAGGGCTGCACCAACTGAACTGCTCCCATTGACACCTCGGTGCAGCCAAGATTCTGCGCGCTCCAACATTCTTACAATCTTGTCGTGGCCCCGGCTTCTTGCATCGTCCAACGGAGTTTTGCCTGAGTGCTAGGACCAAGACCTATGTGACGCTGCTTCCGGCATCACACTCAGTGTCTCGCTGGAATTTCAAGAGCCATATTGAAGAAAGTACTAATATAATTATTGTAATCTATATGATACTAGTATAAATATTTCCATGTATCAAGTTCATGAGATACAAAATATAGTTGTTTTCATTCTTCACGTCAATACAAGTTGCTCCAAAGGCTATTCACGCCCCATGTTGGTTGGGCTGAAGTTCCATCTCCCACGAGACAAGGGCCCAGAGTCCAGAGGTTGCCATTAACTTTCATGGTGACTCTTGTAGACTGTTTCGAAAATTGAAAGAAGTAGTGTGCAGTTTCACCTTCTTGCATTGAAAGAGACCTTTAAATTAGTTATAAACCCAAACGCAAACACATGACACAGTTCAAACGGAAATGAAGAGAACCTCAATGTCAAAGTGCCAAATCAATCGCCATACCAATTGTCGCTTCTCTGTAATAAGAGCACGTAATCAAAGTATTCCCAAGATGCTGTTTTCAAGTGAAATGCAGGCCTCAACACAATATCAACGGACGGTTCCTGTGCTATTTCAGTCCGGAAGTGCTAGGACCAGGAATTGCAACGAGAAAAACCAGCTCAATATCAGGTTGTCCATACATTTCCAATCAGCAGATAGATTGTTCGTTCAGTTTTGTAGATTTTGACTCTGGCGAGACGTCTTGATAGATATCACTATGATATCAAGACAGGATGTATGACAATGTGTGATGTATGCTAATCATTTTCATGCAACATATGTTGCATGTGGAGGCTGGAGGCGCGTTGTGCATATTCATGCATATATCGATCATGACGCATCTCTATCAACAAACATTCATTGGGTCTACATCCATTTGCATTGGAGGTGTCTTCCCCTGCTGCTTCCATGTCTCAAGCAATGCTGTGTCTTTGGGATGTCGAATGATGTCGAGAATGTCTGTCTAAATGCGTACTGCGTCTCCGCATCTCCAATCATCTTCAGCTAAACAACCCTAGTGCCTAAGGACCCTAAGACACCTTGACTGACTGACTACTGACCACAGGAAGTCTCAACGGTCAACAAACAAAACAGCCGCCACAAAGTAATAAGTACAGTAATAAGTAGTAATACAATAGAATCAGATAAGAAAGCAAAAGCCATCGAAAGCCCATCACATCTCCCAGTCGAGGCCCCCGGCCTTTGTCGTCTTTCACAGTGACGGAGGCTTTCGCCTCAAGGAGCAGCTTCACCGCCTCCGCACGGCCGTTGCGCGCCGCCCAGTGCAGCGGGGTGTTACCTCGGGCGAGCGACTGCTCCCAGAAATGTCCTTCTGATGCAAAGCAAAGCGAAAACAACGAGCATGTGAAAAATGGAACAATCTATGAACGTCCCAAGTCTCCGAGAAGGCGCACATTGAAGGCTCCGTCAAAAGCTGAAAATGTCCCCAATTCAAATCCTTTCATTACTTTCAAAAATTCAAGTTATAGTTGTTTGAATTGAGTGATATCATTGTTGTTTTTACAAATCCTGACCATGTGATGTGGTTGTTGATGTAAATGATTTCAACTGGAAACTGCTTTTTTAAAGCCCTATAAAATCTACCAAACCCACCAAACCCACCCTACCGTTTACATTTCACACCATTTCACATCATTTCACATTTTGAATTCGATTTATTTTGGCCTCCTGAAATCTCCCCAAAGCACCGTGTGTCCATCTCTTCAGGGCCGAGAGGCCCCTGGCGTCCCTGGCCTCCAGCTCGGCCCCCGCCGCCAGCAGCACCCGGCACGTCTCCGCGCGGTTTTTGGCCGCCGCCTTGTGCAGCGCGGTGCCGCCGCTGCAGTCCGTCGCGGCCACGGCGCCGGGCACCGTCCGCAGCAGGTGCCGCACCCCGCCGAGGCTGTGGAGCATGGCCGCGTGGAAGATGTTGTTGTTGCCTCGGGGGGCCACGGGCCGCCCCGGGAGGGCACCGGTGGAAGGGCCGCAGAGGCCACACGGAAAGGAGATCCAAAAAAATCTTTACAAGAATTAAGCTAGAATTAAAATGAATTAAATCTAAGTTTGAACACAATTAATTCAAATATACATGATGATTTGGTTTTAAGACAATCCATAGATCTCAACATGACCTCAACATGACCTCAACATGACCTCAACATGACCTCAGTCTGACTCCTCTTAATCGTGTGTCGAGATGTGTCGAGAAAGCGCTGACCATGCAGGGAGCAAACCAGGATCAACTGCTGAGAGCCCAGCATTTTGCCGCTTCTTTCTCATCCTCTGCTGCCTGGTTTACCTCAGCTGCCAAGTGAACAAACACAAAACTCACCGGTGAATTACAAGTGTTTTCATTGACTTTCCGGAAACTTGTTTAGGGAGGCGGTCTCATGCTGAGGATCCACCACTTCATGAAGCATGTTTGCCTTCATTATCCACGCGCAATGTGACAGACATAGACATGGACATAAATGGTCCTCCAGGTCGAGTCTCGACAAATGCTTCTGAGCATGCAATGCTGCACAACATGTTTCTTGCCCCGCCATCCCAAAGCAAGAAATCAGTATGGTGCATGTTGAAGCATTTGAACAATCATCGTGGGCATGCACTGCAACGCGCTGGTTGTGTTGCTTGAGCTGGGGATGCTTATCATGTAATTATTTCAATGTCAAAATGGGTTGACTCGCTCTTGACTTGTTCTTCTTGCAACTTGTTCTTCTCTTTCTGCGAAAGAGTTCAATCTTGTTTGAATTTGAAGGCCCCCAACATTGCTCCTGTCACATGCCAGGCCGCTGCAATGACTGTCAGCGTGGTGCCAGGCACAACGTTTTCTTCTGAGAGCATCTTTTCTTCGTTCCTTGGCAAATACGGAAAGCTACTCTTGGACGAGCCAAGCTCTTGTTCCAGAATTTCTGATCTTGACTCAGGAGACATTCATTTTGTTTGCTGTTGCACTGGTATGAACATCCCAACCATAAATTACATAGGCACGTGTCCTATTTGCAAGTTGCAATACCTGGGAATATCAGAATATATATCTGATATATCTGATATATCTCATTCCACTTTCAAATTCTTCTACGTAACTCGTTCTAACCTGAGTCATTCTCCAGAGGACGCTGTCATTCTGACTGTCCTTCGCGGAATGAGCCTTTCCACACCTGTATTTTCCTGGACTTCATCGCTGCATTCACCGACATTTGCCATTCACCATCCACCAACACCTTGACGAAGCTACACCAAAGTCACTGACATGGGTTCCTTTTTCTCTTTCTACAAGACAGTGCCGGATATCTCAAAGACATTGCCGGGTACCGTTACGGATGATACAGAAAGGCCCATGGACCCAGTATGAGTTTCACTGCTGCCACAACGTCGTGTTTTAGGTCTGGTTGCATGTCCGATTGCATCCTACTGCAAACTTAAGCAGGCACAACATCAATGAAACAGGCGAAGGTTTTGAAGAGTTCTTTGCAGCCCAAGCAGCAACAGCCCCATGTTGGGACCAATCAAGTGCTTTATGACAATATCCAGCTTTTGCCTCGGGTTTCCAACTCAACTGTGGGGCACTGCAGGTTGCAACCGATCCCCTGCTCTTCTATCATTTCGTAACGGAAGTGTGTGAGCAGCGCCAGAAACTGACTGCACCTGCTTCATTCTGCGTCTAAGTTGATATTCCCTGGCCTCTTTGAAAATCATTGAAACTTTGATAAAACAAGTTATACCACATTATACCACCCTAAACAGTAAGTATAACCGAGCATTAAAGGCAATGCAAATGCCTTGGGCATGTTCTTCCTCGACTCCCGTTTGACAACTGTCACGTAGCACTACCAGTAACAGACATCTAGCAGAAGGAACACCAAGACAAAAAACACCAAAACAGTGTCGTAGAGAATGCAAACTCGCCATAGACAAGCCAGGACCAAACCCATCCAAACCCCACATGACATGCCGCACAACTAACGTGCTAAGCTGCTGAGCTTCTTCCTTCAGCTGTCGGATGGTCCGGTCTTGCAACCACAGGCCTGAGATTCCGAAAAAGCAAACGAGAGTGGAGGTATCAACTCAATCCATCGATGCAGCCGTGTAGGGCACCAATCGAGTTATCACATCTGATGCCATTTAATTCGGAGAACAACATCGATTCAAGAATTTGCAACTGTAATTCACTCTTGAAAATCGACAGTAGCCACTTCTTTGCATGTCAACAGCAGAGATTCTACATGCTTACACTGGCTTTCACCATCTTACACCTTGCATGGACAAAGGGAGGTGTATCCATGGGGCGGCCGAGTCACATTCACAGTCTTTGCCGCTCAGCAGAGCCACGAAAACCTGGCCGCTTGGCTTATGATGCTAGCTAGCTAGATTCTGCTGAATTTGAAGGGGTTTAGATGCGTTCAGATTGAATTTTATGGCAGACCACGAGAATTTGCACTCGAAAACACACGGTCCAACCAGCCAGTTCCCGAGTATACCTGTGTCAGCACAATTTCAGCACTACTACAGGCACTAAAATAATGAACAACTGAACATTCTGACATATTGAACACGGTTTTGGCATGGGACTGGCTCCTGCAAACCCATGACCTTCTTGTCATCGCCGTCCTTTGCAAGGTCGTGAGGTGTGGTGCCTCGCAACACAACTCAGCTCCGAAAGTCAAACATCTGCAGCACCGAGCCAGAACCGAAAAGCCCACAGATCCCGCAGGAACTTCATGATTTCATGCTCTTTCGCTCTTGCGGCGAGGTAAAAACATGTCCACGATACTGTCGCACGTTTCCGAGAATCACTTGGTTGCATTCAATTCCTGCAATTTGCTCTGGATACTATCATTTTATGAATTATATCTTGCATCTCAAAGCCATGATCTGCAAGATCTCAACCTCTAAGACCCCAAGATCCTGTAAGATCCTGAAGAACCTCTCCAAGACCCTGACATTTTGCAGCTTCCTCTGCAGCGGCAGCTTCTTGGGCTTTTCGCGCTTCTTGGACTTCTTCAGCCTGCAGCGGCTTGGATGGGCTCTTTCTGGACAACATCACAAGAAACTCACACGGAGGGTCTTATGTTCTACACGAAAAGCAGGTGTCCTTAAACCTCTCGAAAATTCGAAGACAATGTACAATGTGAGACACCGATACTTCCGCACCTCCAAGGATGCTACCTCTTCCGCTTTTCCAGTGGATGATCGAGGGTCGAACTGCAGCTGTGAGATCGGCTCCTTGATGTCGACATCGGCGTCCCACACAGATGAATCCTTGATCTCAACCAACTTGTCACCGGGCTTGTCACCCGCAGGTGCAGTTGTGGCGTCTTGATCTTCCGACATTGGCTTTGAACGTGGAACAGCGCCCGTCTCTTCAGCATCTCTTTGGACCCTGGCATCTTCTCTTGGCAATGAATCTTCCTGCGAGGCCTGAACGGCCAACTTCGATGAGTTGCACTTTCGTCAAGGCTTCAGCAGCAGCAGTGTGATTCAGTTGTAACTTGGTTGTGACTGTTGTGCATTCTGGCAAAGCAAACTATCCTCACAAAATTCGAGACTACCAACCTCTAGTGCTCATGAACTGGCAACATACTTAAACTTGTAGCATCTTGTAGCAACCTATCCTCTTCCATGCCACAGCAATGACGATATGCCCACTGGTCTACAGCTCAGAAAAATAATGCCCCTCTCCGCTCGATGCCTTCGTCATCAGTTCTACCGGAGATGGCGTTCCTCCGACCGAAGACCTGAGCGTTCCATGACTTTTGACGGTTTCCGGTTGCGCCGCATGCGATGTGTCGACTGGCCTGATCTACTGCAATCATGCAATCAAACAAGCCTGCGGACAGAATATATCCGAAACCAACGACAAAAATGCGACTGCCGTAGCTAGGTATTCCTGCATGACTTTATCCAAACCAAGCGTTGCAGGGTATGACGTGGCCACTTTGCTCTCTGCCCCAACTTCAGCCCTAGCAAAGATATTCCGCTCTTTACAGTGAAAGTGACCCTAGTCAACTTGCACCAAGTTCCCAAGCGGTTGCTCCACACTTTTCTCCTGCAAAGCGGCATGAGAACTGTCGGCAGCAGGATCCATGAGGGTTGAGGCACCAGAAGAATTTCAGGCTGAAGCATTTGCCTGTTTGAAAAGTTTGAAGCTTCTGGAAACCTTGTGAAAGGACCTGATTGAACGAGGGGTCTTGATGGTCTTGTCTGAAACGGCTACATTTTTCTAATATCCCTCATCGGAATGTATTTGATAATTCGGACTCCATCCTCTTGAAATCTTCTGTCGACAATTTCCTGGTGTTCTTCTGTTTCGCACCAATAATTTGCTGGAAAAGTGTTTAAGCATCTGCTCAATCAAGGTCTATTTGACGGCACCTGTGGCGGACGGCTCTCTGGCTCTTGAACGTTCTGCGCTTCAGCCTACTTCCAGACTCAACTAAGCCAAGCATGACTCATGACAGGAAAAGTGGGATCGGGGATGCCCAGTTGGGTTGGATGTGAACGAGAAGTTTGCAGGGTCACTGACTACCCTGACTAGCATCTATTTTCTAAAATTCAGACTCAATCCATCTCAATTCAATTCTGTGAAATCTTCTGTCTACAGTCAGCAATGTCTACAATCTTACAGCTTGCAAAGGCAGCAAAATGAAGATGCATGGGCAGTATTGACCATTGCCTCTCGCAATCGACTTTCTAGTTCTGCAATGCGCTGAGCTGCAGCAGCTTCTGCTTGACGCAACGAGCGGACCTACAACACCAACATTACCAACCTAACATCACCAAACAGTCTGACCAACAAAGCACACGTTTGCAGAGGTATCCCATTGTGGAGCCATTCGTGCAGCCCACCGAAGTCAACCAAAACAAGTCTGATCTGACGATCTCATGGGACGTAGGGTGCCTCTTCCTTCAGTTGCGCTACCTCTTCGTGAAGTTTCTCCGAATCGTGGACTCCAGGGGCTCCAGGGGCTCCAGCCTTCCAGATGCTTTGACAAACTGTCTCATCTTCAAGCACCACTGTCAAAGATCTTCAAAGATCTTCAAACTCATGTCACTCATGTCAAATGATGCAGAAATGGCGGTCCTTGGTTTCAAACAAATCCTGATATTTGGACTCTGGCAGAGTTTGGGTTTGAAGTGCATGTTGTTTCGCCGTGATGTCAGCAGAATCGAAATCTGTGATGGAAAGACCTGAATGGAAGGGGGAGGGAGTCTTGTAATTTCATGTAATTCCCATGATTGGAATCTAGTTCGAAATCTTCTGTCTACAATCTCCTGTTCTTCTGTTTCGAGCAAATTTATTTTCACGCATCTGTTCAAACGAGGTCTATTTGATGGCACCTGCGGAAAACGACTTTCTGTCTCTTGGACGCTCTGCGCAGCAGCTTCTGGTTGACGCAACGAGCGAACCTGCAAACATCCATGAATCCTTCTTCGTGCTTGGGGTCTACAATATCATTCTATACCATTCTGAATCACGTTCCACTGTCCAGCTAGGCTCCATCATAAAACAATCTGATTCAGAGAGTGGACATATGGATACATATGGCTTAAATATCACATGGTTTTATGTGATTGGTGCAACCTGAGTAGGTCAGTCTTTCAGAAACCTCTTCTTTTTATTTCGTTGCGCCACCTCTTCTCGGAGTTAAGGAGCGACCCATGAGCTGCGGACTACAAAACAAACACGCCTCCAGGTCCTCCACTCTTCTCCGCAGGCTAGGGACCTGGCAAAACACTGTACAAATGCTATTTCTCCTAGCATCCCCAAACTTCTGACGCAACTTGCAGCTTGAATCTACAGCAAAGTGGGTTCACCATAGTTTACCATAGTTCACCATGAAGTTGCATGCTGGAAGACACGGCCCACGTACCCTGCCACCTCAATCCAGCATTCCCACAGTTCTAAGATTCTACAGCCTTGTCAGGCTGCCTTTGTGCATGGCTGCATCTACCTAATTTTCTATTGGAGAACTGTTGCTCGAATGAGGTCGTACATCTCGTTTAAGAGTGGATGGATATTGTATAATATATTATAATATTGTCCTTTCTCAAGCTGGGCCCCAACTTCGACTTTGTCCTTTCGCAAACCCTGAAGGTTTCCAGGAGTTCTCCCCAACATTCCAGGATCAACAGCATCTAGAGATGTCTAGAGATTATGGGTCCCGGACGGTCCCCACGCCTGTGCCAGGGTGGTGTCCACGGCAGCAGCCTCTATGGCCAAACGGCTGGCACAACTGAGGTTCATGGATTTCCTGAAACTCAACGACCGAAGCTCAACGCTCATCAACATTCATGGAATCATGTTTCAGGCAAAAACACGCAGCTGAATATTTTCGACATTTGCAGGAATTGTGAGGTGTGCAGTTAAAGGTTAGCTTAATAATTGCTTAAATTGCCTTAAGTTACTGAACTTCTCTGCACTCATCTTTGGATGAACTTCCCAACACTCGACCGCCTCCTCGGCTGTCAGCTGGTATGCCTGAGCCGAGCTTCCGCTTCCCATGGTGATCAGCAACCTGGCGGTGAGGCTCCACAGAACATCTGCATCACTTTGACCAAGTCTTTCAAGCCCTGTTTGTTTCGAGCCCTGAGAAGTCTTCAAGTGATGCAAGTGATGCAAGTGATGCACGCCTGTTCCTGTCTCCGTTGAAAAAAAATGGTACGGATGGCCATTCACGAGGAATGCCATTTCCTCCCTTTCCAGAGACAAGTTTCCTGTCCCTTTCCCAAGTCCTGTAATTGAACAAGGTCTCAGGCTCAAAGGTCGTCTCTGACGGAACCTCAGAGTTTGAGGTGCACTGACCAGAACCTTTAAAACAAATCAGCATGATCATGAAAACCAATTCAACAAAATGAAAGGTCGAGAAAATTCACTGGTACAAACATCTTTCCTGTGGATGCAAACTGTCACTTGCATCCAAAGGGTCGAGTTCTGCATCCAAAGCTGAGGCCAAGTGCGGACAGGCGTGGCACTGAATTCAGCAAGTGGCGGCAGGAGAAGGAAAAGAAAATGCCAATGACTTTGCAGAGGCACCTTTCCAACCACTTTGATTCTTTGTAAGTGAACTCAGGTTCTGATTTAACCATATTTAACATTATTTAACCATTGTCACATATTGCCACTTTTTTGAGTTTCCATGCGTTCGCAACTTTAAACATATCTTTCAAATCCTTGAGACCCACTGTACTGGTTTCCTGCGCATGTTTTGCTGTGTTGGAGCTGCAAACTGCACCATGTCAAGCAGCATTCCAAGGGATGTTCACCTCTACCTGCTCAAACTTGATTTCGCAACTTACATTTGAGGAAGGAGATCCTCTACCCTATTCATTGCAATTGCGAAGACCAAGGATTCTGAGATTTGCCGTCGATTTGAGCCGCTTAAGATGAAGTTGATGTTTTATTTTGGCATAATCTTTTGGAGGGAACATCCTCCGCGGGACAAGAACATCATTCAATGGGAGATCTCCAGGATCCTAAAACGGAGGTACGTTAGTACCATATAAGGCCATATTTTTAAGGCAATATTTTGAGGGTATATCTGCAACTGCCATCAGCCATGTCAGGACGTTGAGTCACCAAGGACCCGGAACTGTGTCTCGGCTCAGGAGGGGCCCCTTTTAGTGAGCCATCCGTTTTGCCAATGGCAACCTGCTGACCACTGCGGTCATTGGAAAACATCAGCGTTGTGTACGCTTGTGGTGCTGGTTTGAACTACTCCCTTTTCACCGTCTACTGCATCTAGGCAGCTGGCTTGGGATTGGAGGGGTAAAGCCCAATACGAAACCCTGTGCTCCCGCTACATTGGTAGCGGAGCACGAAAGCTCCGAGGCCTGTGCTCCAATCCTGTCGAGCGTCACCTGAGGTGACTTGTCCTCCAGATTGGAAAGGCCTAACTGGTTGGTTTTGGATCTACATCCAGGACACCTTCAACCTTTTGGCCGAGCTCTTTGGCAACTCTTTTCTTTTGCACTCTCAAGCGATACGGCTTGAGCCCTTGCTGGCCACTTTGGCCCAACCTGCCATTTTGGCATCATGGCTTCTGAGAAGGAGCAGAACGTTCCGGTCTGGGATGGTAGCGCGCGTTCCTGGAGAAGATACACCAGAGAAGTTTGCTGGTATGTGAGGGCTACACCTGTAGAAAAGCGCAGGTACTGCGCGACCAAACTGGTTAGCCGACTGAAGGGTCCCGCCAGACTCTTGGCTATGAGCTGGACCACCATGGAGTTTGACCACGTCAACGGTGTCAGAGACTTGCTACAACGTTTGGCGACCTCGCCATTAGTCAGGCAGACCTTGCCCAATGCTGCGGCCACATGTCAGCAGTACTTCAACTTCAGAAGAGATGCTAGTGAACAGATGAATACCTTCCTTGTAAGGGAAGCCTTGGGTTACTCTGAGTTTGTGGAGGCGCTCTTGCTGCTCTATGAGGATAAGCAGGGAGTCCAACAACATGAGAAGAACTTTGACTTAGCTGAAGAACTTCCTCGAGATGATTGGCAAGACTGGTGGCATGACGCTACTGATGAACCTGAACCTGATGCTGCTCCTACATCACCGTCGAGACCTACAGGCGCTGCTGCTGCGACTTCTTCACCAACGAGGTCTACTTCGGCTGCTGCTGGAGGTGATGGCACTGGAATGTCTCCTACGAGGCAACCACCACGTGCTGCAAGCTTCCGCTCTGTGGGAGTTCCTGGTTCTACGGTGCCACCTGGCTTCGAGACCTCCGACATCAACGAGTTCAGCCTGGCGGACAGTTTCGTCCTTGGGGTGCTACGTGGTTTTCGACTTCTACAAGCTGCTGGGTTGAGTCCTGAAGATAAAAGGGACATCTTGGCTTCTACGAAAGGGAGCTTGGAGTTCGATGTGGTCACAAAGGCCTTGCAGACGCTTTGGGATGAGCAGTTCCTTGGGCGTCAAGCTTCTTCTATGCGGAGCTCTATGGGAAACTATTTCAATGAGGCCTACCACGCTTCTGAGGAGCCCTATGACTATGAATGGTGGAATGATGAGACCTACGAGAACTACTGGACTGAGCCTGATGCTTGGGATTCCAGTTGGGATTCTTGGCAGGATGCTCAGTATGGCCAATCTGAACAACCTGCTGAAGATCCACCACCTGATGATGCGGCTCTTCAAGACTCACTTCAAGCAGAACGAGAAGCTGAAGCTCTTGCGCTACAAGCTCAACGAACATGGACTGAGGCCCAGAAGGCCACCGCTGCTTTGAGACGAGACCGTGGATTTGGACAACAACGTCCACCCAATGATGGCAAGTGCTTTCTATGTGGAGGCAACCACTTTGCTAGGGATTGCCCTGACAAGTTCCACCCTGCCTACATGAAAGGCAAAGGCGAAGGCAAGTACACCAATGTCTATGCTGCTGAATGGGAGATGGCCGACGCCTACTACATGAAGGGCAAAGGCAAACCGAAAGGTAAGGGTAAAGGCAAATCCTTCAATGTGGTTGACATGAATGCCATGTGGAAAGGGAAAGGTAAATCCAAGAATGTGCCGAGTCGTCCGGCAGTGAATGCATACACAGCTGAGACCCAATCCTTCTACGGCCTGGAACTTCGTGAACCACTTGAGGCTCACTCCACCGCTGCCACCAACATGAAGCCGAACCTTGGCCTCCTCGACTGCGGGGCAACTGCTAGCGCTGGGCCTGAAACCAGTGTGCAGAAGCTAATCAGCTCTGTGCTTGCCAAGGATCGTGGAGCTGCTGTGACCATTGCGAAATACATGCGGCCTTATTTTCGTTTTGGGAATGGTTGTTGGGGGCAAGCAAACTTCAGGGTCTCAATCACCTCAAAGGTTTCTGGTTTTGAACGAACGTTTCATATGTATTGTTTGCCGGACCCCAAGAATGGCGACCAAAACAATATGGTTCCAGTTCTACTTGGCATGGATCACCTATCTGGTAAAGATTGTCCTGAATCAGCTTTAACCATCGACTTCAACACGGGCATGGCTTTGGAATCTACGAACCCCAATCCAAATGTTTTTCAACTTCCATGTAACCACAAGGGTCACTACATCAGGGATATTGTCCACTACCTGACTTTGGGGAATAGCAACCATGAGGGGCATCCTACAATACATGTCATGGAGGGTGAAACGCAATCTGCAGAGCTGCAAACTTTGGAGTTTCATCCAGCGGAGTTCTATGATTTGCATGTAGCTGACCGAGTACATGATCAAGAAGTTTTGGAAAAATCAAGAAGGCAACTGTTGGCACTTCATGCTCACCAACATGGCCGAGTTGATGCGAAGGCTGCAGCCTCTCTGGCTTCAATGTGTCCGCGAGACCAAACTGATCTCCCCAATTCGTTCGCATCTGCTTCCTGCGTGCCGCCTGACCATGTCGCAGGAACTTCACCAAAAGCAAGTTCGGGATGCAATCACTGCTGCGACGCCAAAAGCTCCACCACGGGCACTGGACCCGGAGCGCATGATGGGCTTCGACAGCAGGGATCCACGTGCGGATCCAAATCAATGGCCCTGTCACGGGTCGCACACACCAATGAAGCCTCACGGCAATGCTCACGGCCAGTGGGTGCATTGCGCAGTGTGCAACTTGAGGCTCCAGTACACGCCCAAGAAGGGAAGCCACTCAGGTGCAACCAAAGTGGAGAACCCTGCCATGGTGAAGCGCATGTTGGACCGTCTTCAACCTTTGATGGGAGACTGCCGTCCAACCCAACAGATATGCCTGGCGATGATCAAGCTGATCGAGGCGGAGGAAGTGCTTCAGGTCACCATCAACTACGAGAAGGACAAGCATGCGACCACGGGATATGCCAAGGCCAAGGCAAGTCCTTCAAGGTCGTCACCTTCAACGACATCTCCGGCGTCGCAATGGAGCGTTGTGGAGAATCCGGAAGCTCTGAGTGCAGAAGATCTTCAACGCCACTTGACGGCTGAGGAGAAGAACCAGATTCAACAGCTCATGCGCGAGCGCCAGGAGAATGCCAACAACGAGAACGAGATGGCCTGAAGTATGACAACGTCCTCAAGAATGACTTCAAGTCTGTGGATGTCGAGACCTTCAAGAATGCCAACACCCTTGAGAATGACCAGGTGCCTGCGTTTGCCACAGTCCCAAAGAATGTCAAGGTTCCGAAGATTGCCAACAAGAACATCAAGCCTGCCGAGATGACACAACGAATGGCTGCCAAGGTGATGGTGATGTTCACAACTATGATGGCAATGGCATCGGCTTCTCTGACTTCGTTCTCTTTGGACGATCGCGATGGACTTTGGGAGATTGCTTGTGCACCGCATTCATGGCTTTCTGAAGCTGCTGATCGACAAGGACTACGACCTCGACGCATCAACCTTCAAGCTGGCTATGACCTCTACCGCAAGGAGACCTGGGATCATCTTCGAGCTCTACGCCGCCGACATCGTCCTCGACGTCTTTGGTTTTCGCTGCCTTGTACGTTCTGGTGCCCTTGGACTTCGCTCAACTATGCTGGACCTGAACGTCAACAACTTCTTGAAGACCATCGACGACGTGAACGACGAGTTCTTTGGCATGTTCATGAGTTCCTGTCTGAGGCCTTAGCTGAAGACCCTGACATACTGGTCTACTATGAATGGCCTCACCCTTGCTTTGGTTGGAAACAGAAACCCCTTCTTGCCATACAAGCTCTTTTTGAACAACATGGGCAAGAATGGAATGACTGCCGCATAGATGGCTGTCGATACGGCATGGTGGACTCCAACAACGAGTTCCTCAAGAAAAAGTGGATGATCAAAACCAATGATGAACTTTTTCATGGCCAATATCGATGCAAAGTTTGTACTGGTGGTCATTGTCATGGCCGAATTGAAGGGCGCGAGACTCAAAAGTCAAGCTACTACCCTTGGAAGATGGTTCAATCGTTTGCTCGTTTTTGGGCACAACAAACGGTTTCAAAACAACAACTGCAGCGTATGAACTTCCATGATGTGGCAACTGTGGAAGACTGTGATGGTGGTGATCTACTTGCACAAGATGAAGAACCACCTGACGATCACTCAATGCCGAGCTCTTTGCCTGGCAATGCAATTGTTGCTGCGAACCCTGCTGATGCACCAT